CCAAGGTTGCCAGTCTCTGGGCAGAGTGACATTGCTATTCTGAAGCTGTCCTAAGCACATGTGTGAGTGGTATGCCAGTATGTCAAGCCTGACTTCTTGAGATAATTGGAGTCAGCTTGGAAAAAAAACTGTCAGTGGAAAAGGAAGTTATTCTAAAACACATATTAAGTGCCACTACTATTTAATACACACATAATTAGAAGTCCTATAAATAGACATGTTAGTCTTCTGGTTGCTTCAGCTGTAGCAGAAACATTTACAGTGAATGATTGTGTAAGTCCCTCCTTGCCCAGCCATATGATAAAGGAGAAGGTTGGACATGACCTATTCATTAGCATGCTGACATTTGTATCACGAGGTTGGAGTAATGTGAGATAGATGATACCTTACGTAATGAACGCCTGAAAACCTTTTTAGAAAGGTTGGCTTATTTATGATGGAGAACCCGAGGCTGGGCCCACTGGGGAATTTGAGCAGGGATCCTGAATATGTTCCCCAATCCTCTTGCAGAAAGAACCTCAGGAAGCGCGTTGGAAGATGAGAGCAGGATATCTTTAGAAGATTAATTACTGAATGTGGAAAAGGAGTCTTGAAGAGTATCAGTTCTTCACCCCTCTGAAAAGTATTTCCCATGACCACCAAGATTAATCATAAGTTATAGTTCCTCTGTGTTCTGTCAACTGAAGTCTTGGAGCTTTAATTTTAGGCTGCATTATTAGAAAATAGATTACTTTGTTTGACAGATTCCTAGTAAAAACAGCATAAAATTATAATCAACAAAATTTTGGAGATATCATGAAACAGAACCCCCTTCTGTTTCACTGTAAAAGTTTTATGGGATTTTTATTTTTCTATCTTGTATTAACCAATTTTCCTTTCAATTTTTTAATCCATGGTTTATACTGTGCATAACAGAATGTATTTCTAATTACTTTAGCTGTCTCTAGTCATATACAGTCATAAATACATTAACATCTTAAAACCTGTTTGTTAAAGAATATTTGTTAAATCAAGTTGTTAACAACATAGTCATTAAAAAACACTACATTGTTTTCTTTCTTCTAATGATCAATAGTTAAATATAGCACAGTTACAACACCAAACATCTGAATAATAAACTAAATTAGTAAACTAAATTATACAAAAACATGGAAACATCTGTCTCCCATTGTATAAAGCATATTTGCTTTGAAAAAAAGATATGAAATCCTAAAGTTGTAGTTTGGGATAGAGTGTATTATTTTTTTGACAGTATGGATCAGTTAATAAAAACAACCTGCATATTTTTCTGAGTCAGAATCTTTATTGTGTTCAATTAAATATGATTTTTAAAGTAAATTTGAATCTGAAAATACTGTCCTGTAATTATACTTAGGGTTTATTTGCCTTTGAATTACAGGATTTCCTGCAAAGAAGAAAACAGTATTCTTGAAAAACATTTTTGGTTTTGAGCAACAAGTCTAAACGTTTCCAGCACCTATAGGTCTCAGGTTAAATAATGCCACACCTGGAAAATGGCACAAAATGATTCAAGGGATGTATTAGTAGGGAAAGAAGGTCAAGAAAATAAACAGTGAACATGTACCATGTTCATTTTCGCCCCCTTTCTCATTCCCTCACTGATTAAAAAGTTGGATCTTGAACTGTTCCTACATGTTTTCAAGTTCTTTAAAATCCTACAGTTCTTGTCCTTGAAAATAATCTTTTTCTTGAGTTTGTCTGAAAATTTCATAAACTTCTGAGTATTGAATAGTCAAATTGATGTCTTAAGGCAAGATTAAACTCAAGTTTACAATAGGATTTATCTTATTCTCTTTATAAAAGGATATAAACTTTAATTAACATGGAGTAGGAATGGGTGTAGAGCAAAGTAATGTCTCTGCAATAATAAGTCACACAAATTCTAGGACAAGGACTAGTCCTTGGTCTTTTGCTCCAAAATATGGGTTTCTAGCCACCCAGGTAAATGTCACATCTTGGTAAAAGTCTGGTTTCCAGAGATCTCTCATGTATTCAGAAGGCTGAAGAAAATCACGTGAAAAAACCCACCAGTTGTGTGCCACTAAAGTTATTTCCAAAAAGAAAACCACTTTAAATTGACAGAATTAGAATTTGAACTTCGAGGTGGTGGTGTCCTGAGGAGAAAAGCTCTGTTTAATTGTTACATATTTGCTTTACACATAATGAGCAAGTAATCGTTCAAGAAATGAAGCTTTGTGGAAAGTTTGAAAGGTTAATAACTGAGTTTCAGCATTTCAAAAGAAGTCAGGGAAAGAGAAAAGAAGAGAATCTTAATCTCTGAAACAATAAACCTTTGTGTTACCCAGGAAGTCTCAGTGCCTTCTTGCTAATAGCTTTAACATCTATACCCATGCAAATGTAAAAGCAAGATGAACATAATCTCTTTTCTCAAAGTACTTGAATTTCCACATTATAAAATAACTTTTTATGTGGAAAGAATTAAGAAGCACAGGGGGTTTTAGATGTGGGGTTTCTCCTAAATACTCATCAGAGTATCATTTAAGCAGCAAAAGAGTATTTTAATGAGTAGTCTCTCTGGAAATGTGTAAATAAGTTTGGCCTTTATTTTTTAGCTTGCAATTTTCCTTAAATAGTTTTACAAATAAATATTTTGATTGTATTTAGTAAGCTTAGCTTTTGGAAATTAATAGTCTTTGTTAGGAATAATACCATGTCTGAGCTTAGCATGTTAATTTGTTAATACAGACCAAGTTTTAACCCAGAACTGCATTTGTAGGATCTCTAATAAAAGAGATCACATCTGTGATACACCATCCCATATAGAGACAATTGGGCTTTTTACATCAGGAGTGAAAAAGAAAGTGCCTTTTTATTTAAATATTTTCATTAGCTGCAGTTCACAGTAGCATCTCAACACTATGAGAACGTGAAGGAAGGAAGATCCTATATGTATTAACTATAGGAGCCTTATCTCACTCTTCCCTATCTTATATCAATGTCCATAATTATGATAAAAGTTTCACATGAGCACCAGGTTGGTTGGTACTCAGAGATGAAATGGACTTTATTATCTACACCCACAATGTGGTTTGCACCTGAGTCATCTTGGACTTTCTCTGCTTTTCAAGTAACCCAGCTGTATGTTGTAGTCAATAATTTAATTCATAGATTTTATTGTTGTTTTTTTAGTCTCTTCATAGGGAAGAAGTTGCCATCCATTGTTTTAGGCATAGGCTTCTCCCCATCTTGCCATGATCCTCCCTTTTATTGGAACAGGATTTATATTTCATCTGAAGATGAAGCAGAAATTTTATTGATGTGTGATGTATGATGTGTGATGGTTGGCTTGCAGAAAATGTGTTTTGTTTTGTTAATGGCAGCTGCATACAAGGGCAGCATATGACTTCATCCCCTCCACAGTATAAAACAATTTACCAAAGCTTAAAGATAGGTTCACTTAACAATTTTGCTTTCAGTTTGAAGGCAAAGTTTTCTCCCCCCTGTTAGCATTAACTTCTAGCATTTTGATACATCTGTATTGCAAATACTTCTGCCAAAAAAGTTTAAACAGTACAGATTCTCTTAACTTCAGAGAACATCTTTTCCCCTAGTAGAAGTTAGTAATTATGATAAATGGATGTACTTACATGTACTCTCATTTAACAGAAGGGCTTTCTAAATTCACTGTCTTCACATGAGCAATTTACTTATCACTGTCATCTTCAGGTTTATCTAACTGAGGTTTAATCTATTCAATTGTAGGAATAGCTGCAGAACTTATTTCTGAATTTGTAGTGTGGGATTCAGAGATTCTTTTGCTAATAAAGAGCATTTTGCCTTGCAAATTAAGGGCAAATAATCTTGGGGACATAGGCCTCAAATAGATAATTCTAAAGATGAATGTGACTTTGACTTTTGTTAGCAGTTGAATTTCATCCGCACTGAGTATAAAGACTAGCAGTCAGACAATTGAATTCTGAGGGCTTGTCAGATTTAGGAGTGTACCTCTACAGCACAGCGGAGCATAGCACAGAGATACTTCTACTTTCTACCAATGTCCAGGTTCTGGAACACAGCTCACCACTACCACATTGTTCCAGGACCTCAGCTCTGCCTGACTCTAGGTTATGTGGATGATTTAGATCAGGTTTACACTGGCACTGAAAGGGCTCTATCACATGGTAGAGATATCCTTTTAATCCTTTTGCAATTGCTGTGTCACTGAGCAAACCTTATGTAACACACAGATTCTACTGTCTTGTCCCTTTAAACCTGGAAGGCATCTGACATTTCTCTGGAGGTTGCCTGGGACCTTGACCAAAACTCCCTTGCACTGAACAATTGTACTTAAACACTGAACTGCACTGTGGTTACTGCCTGATAGGATGATAGCAAACACTACTTTAAATAATAGTTTGAATTAAAAAAAATTGTGGTAAGAGTGCCTGGTCTTGCACAAGAAACTTTAAGCATTAACAGTGATCATCACTCCTCATAATGTCCTCCCCGCCTGATGCACTACAGCAATAGTTTTTAAATTACACAATATTTCCTTTTAAAATATGGATTCCATTTATAGTCCATGGGATTGTCATTGCTACAGTTCATGCTATTGATATTTTTTATACTTTCAATAGGAAATAGGCATCATCAGAAGGAAACCCTGAAGGTTAGCAAAATAATTAATCTGGTAGTATCAGTAACGCTTCCTTTGTTTTAAATCACAGTGTACTGACCACCAAATGCCCTCCCTGCTGGAGGTAAAATTGCTGATTATTGTGTGATATCATCCCAGTGAGGCAGCAGGAAAAAAGGCAGGGTTAACAGAAAGGTGCACGTGGCCAGTGGATGGTTACAAGCCCTAACAGGTGCTGGGCTGTCAGCAGTGGAACAATCTGGCCAGCAGCTGATGTCCTCCTATTTTAAGGCCTCTCAGTGCTGTGGGCTTTTCAGCCAAGTCCTCTTGGCATGGTGTTTCTCAGGCAAGTTGATTGAAAAGTTTTATAGGCTAACAAGGGCCTGAATAGGATTATCATTTACAGGTGACTACAGGCAATGTGATTGATCTGACCGCATCTCAGTGTCTGAATTAATTAGAGAACTTTTCAACAACTGTTTGCTTTTTTGGTCTGTGAATGCTTTCTTTCTTATATTCTAGAAAGAAAAATATATATATTTGTACGAGACATAATCATGCTGATGTGAAAATTTCCCCTTTGGAATTTGCTTTTCCTTGTATGCTAGCATCTGCTTGTTTTCCTTAGAACTGGAAAAAAAATATAGAAGGCTAAAACACAGTGAAGCATCTTGCCTTACCCACTGCCTCTCTGTGTCTGCTTGTTCTTCTGACCTGCAGATAAGGTGAAGTTGTGGAAATACTTCAATCTATAGGATAATTACAGTGTTTTAAATATTGCATATGATTGCAGAAGGAATAAAAATATCAGTAGATTCTTAGTGCACAGTAATTGATTTTCACAGTCATCCAGAGGTGTAAGTACTGTTTTGATGTATGTTTTATTTCTGTATCTGTTTTTCCAACAAAACAATAGCTACTAGATCTGCCTGGATATTTTTTGGCTGCTTTTTGTGATATTTATTTGATAGTTCAGTTTGTAGCCAAAAAAGAGACAACCAACATCATTCATTGGAACAAAGTGATGAAAATATTTTCCTCTTTGGCATACAAATTGATAATTCTTTCAACTTAGATGATTTATCCTTGGGGCATATTTTGCTCAGAATAGTTTTTTCTTGTAAATCTTTGGTATATACTTTGCCACACAGTCTAGAAAACTCTGTAGGGATTGATAATAACTGTTATTCTTTTTCAAGTACTATATCAGAGTCTCTGTAGGGCACTGTCAGTATTGTATTAAATAGCTGTCACTGTTGAGACAGGAGGCCATCATCCTTTCTTCCTTTCTTGCATGGGTAACTGACACAGGGGTACCAATTCTACGTCACACCTCTGAAAAGTAACACCAGAATAATATGCACTTTTGAAGAGGATACTACTGCTAGTTATGCAAAAACTACTACAGCTGCTGCTGTATTTGAGCTTTCTTCTGGGATAATGCAGGAGACTTTTTATTACTTTTTGGACTTGATGATCTTGGAGGTCTTTTCCAAATTTAATGATTATATTACTGTCTTTTTAAGGTGTCACATTTATAGCTTTATACTGAGGAATAAATTATTGGAGCAAGCAAAATAAGAATAAAAATATGTAAATATGTGACTTGCTTTTAAAAAGCTACACATTTTTTGTAATGTGGATTTTTCAGACTCTCCATAGGAGATGTATGACATTAGGTTTTTGTGTCATGCTCTTTTCAGCATCTCCCTTAGCCTTTCTCACTTTTCTAACTCACTCATTAATCTTACTGGACAATTCAAACTGAAGCAGTTCAGTATGAGAGGGTGCGGTGAAAACTGTCCATCCGTTCTACTGCAAATTACTAGGAGTGCTGAATGCCTTTAATACATTGATGCAGAAATTTTTGTTAAAACCTTTTGTAAAATTGCATGTAATTAGTGAATTACTAGTTTGAGATGACTTTGGGCCTCTAGTATCAGTCACTCCTACAACTTCCATTTCATAAGCACCGACTTCAAAAAGTCTACATCTGTCAGTTAAGCAAGAGTCTAAAGGAAAAAAAAAGTTTTTCTTCTTTAGCTTGCTGTCTTGCATAATCTTGATTTTGTGAAATGTGTTTATCTATATTATATCCATATCTTATTTTTGAGGACCATAAAGCCCTGGGGAAAGAGAGGCAAAACCATGTTTTTATCACTGTCATGGGATGCTTAATACATGTTTTTATCACCTTTAGAGGCCAACACCCTCCTTTTCAAATTGCAGAAAGCTTTCTAACTCTTTAAATTTTTAACTCATCCTTCTAAAGCAGCTGTTTCACTCAAAACACAGTTCTCAAGCTTGTGTTTGTGTTTTGAGGGGCTCCTAGGGAATACTTGACCTTGAAGGGTGTGTGAAGTAGTGAAGGGCCAGGATTTCTAAATAACTTCTCTATATCACAGTCTTTAAAATGGAAAATTTCCATGTCTTAGGAGGCCCCTAGCTTTTCATGATTCCATACAGTTTGCAACCCCATTAATGTGACAGTTCTTTAAGCTATAAGTCTCACTGTATTTAGTCTTCCATTAAGCCTACTTACCTGCATGCTTGCTGCTGAGATACCCTTCCCTCTTTTTGCTTAGGATATTTTTTACAGTATCTCATGATTGTTTCCCTGGAGCATTTATTATCTAGAAGCCAAAGCAGGTAAATTAATTTAAACAACAATACTGCTTGATGCTACTCCTCTGTATAGAGAGACTCCCCCACAGAATATTGCCTGTTTCCAAATCGATTTCAGACCTATTTCTGGGCATTTCTTTTTGAGAGGATAAACAAATCTGCTTCTTTCAGCTCTATCACCGTCTGAAGGAAAGCCCTGTGTGTGCCAGCACTGTGAAGCAGTGTGTTGTAACACATTAGTGAGCGCCAGGAAGAGCTAGAGGTAGCACGAGAAACACGAAAGACTAACCCGCCCCTCTGAAGCAGAAGGCTCTGAAGTTCTTTCCGAGGCCAGCTGGACACCATCTGATCATTTGTAGGAGATGCATCCCATAACTGCATGGCCCTCTGAGAGTCAGGGAATGTCTGGAGATTTTGGAGGGTTTTAGCAGTGGGCTCAGTTTCACTGAATCATGATTGTTCTGATCAGGCATTGCAATTTTGGCCAACACCACATATTCACTCCCAACATGCTGTTGATTACCAGTCATAGCTCAGTGGCTTAGTAGTTCAGTATTGCCAAGTCCATCTGAATGGCCATCCCTCCTCCCCTTTGTTTCATTATTATCTCTATTCAATATCCAAGACTTGTGCATCACATTCCGGGGTCATGTCACACCATGCATCCCCACCTGGGTAGCTACAATACAATTGTGATGGGCAACATTACATCAGAAATCATTGTAGGGTACTGTAAGGGCCCAAATCAGTCAATGCCATCAAAATATGTGGGAAAAGGCAAGCTCCTCTTTTTGGGAACTAGCTCAAATTCAGTACCTATCACTAGAAGTTATAAAGCCTAATGACAGGTCTGGTTGTGTCTGCCTTGACACAACCAATGCCTAGGCAGTCATTAGCTTGCCTGCTAAATTAGGCTTTGACTTTTGCCTGTCTTCTTTTCTCTGAGTTATTACCACTGCCAGTAGAACAAGGTATACTTATAAGGCAGAATGTATACACAACAGTCATTTTTCAGAACCATTTGAAAATACTTTGACCAGCTGATGTTTCATAATAAACACTATTTAGTTGTGATTGCATCTCTTTACAGGAATGGATCAATTCTGACTCCATTTTGATTAAGAAGAATTGAGTAAAAGCCAGATGAAATTACGTCGCACCTGAATAACCAATTTATTTGTGTTCAGTAGTGACTTGTTCTGTGGCAAGATGGCAAATAGAAAATAGTCTGTCTTGTCTCAGATTCTGCCAGCTGAAATTAGATAATATTTGTGGTTATTGAAATATTTAATTGTTTTTGCTATAATGTGGACTGTAGCAGTATTTTGTACTTTGAGTAGTGTCCACAAGTGCAGACAGTGTTCTGAACTGAAATTGTAATTGAATTGTAGATTCAATTTATTGATCAAATTTTTGATCCAATTGTGGATTCAAACCATCCCTAGTTTGCCAACAGATTTGTAAAAAAATTGTAGGAAATTTTCACTCCCTGTGTAGCTAGATGTATCTCTGCATATATATAAGAGTTGTTCATCTACTTGTACATTTCAGTTTTAATTTGGGGGTATTTTATCACTCCTTGTGTTCTGACTACAGGCTTCTCCATCAGAGGTAATCTCGTTTGCAATGCTCTGGGTGTTCAGTCTTTTTGCTTCTGGCTTCTTTATCGCACCTTTGTAATTCCAGCATTCTTGTGAGACCTGTGCAATGCCTTTACTATTTTCTGACGACCTCAACAGGGACTATGCACATGTCAACTTATTTCAGTACATAATTGCTTTACATTTCTTCCCAGTTCTTTTTTAATTTGGGTTTGTACATAACTTGACTGATGCTTCTAGATGAGTTGAGAATCCTGTTAATCTGCCATATTTTCATGCTTGAAGACTGGCTTTGCCTAAAATGCAACTGAGCATACAAGTGATTTGTTTAAACTGTATTTGTGTAGTTTTGGTATTAAGATCAGAGTGCCTCAGAGTTTGTGAATAATCTCAGTAGTCATGAATCACTAATGATCTCTTTTTCCTTGAGCATAATGCTTAAACATTTAATATATGCAAACACCATTGCATACTTTTTTTTTTTTTAATATCTGAAAGATTCTGGGAGTTTAAAAAGTATTTTCATTAATTAGTACCTGTAGGTCTGTACATACACTGAAGTGCCTTTATCATTTGCTTGCTGATTTCTCTGAGGGGGTTGCAAGTTTCAAAACATAGATTACTTTGTTTTTGAAAGTTGAGATTCATTTCCTTGCCTCTTAATGGTGTGTTCATATACCAGAAATTGAAAGGTATACATGAAAATGCTTTTAGAACATGTCTGTCAGAAATAAGTAGCCACACTATTTGACTGTAACATCACAAAATTAGCAGTCACAGATAATAACAGCATTAGTGCTCTTGTTCCACTGCAGATTTCTAGAATCCTCTTCTGTCTTCTGAAATGAGATGAGGAATCACTTTCTCATCCACTTCTATTTTCCATGATTTTGCAAAATATTGTGTTCAACATATCTGCAATATTTGTCACTTGCAGGCATGTAATAGGCATATCTCTTTAGTGCTTTTGCTTACACTGTTTGGACTCTGCCTTGTTTCACAGGATAAGTAATCTAAATTGTTGCTCTAGACAGGAAACTTTATTTTTATGTGCTCATCTACTAAAATTATATTCATTTCCTCCTATTGCATTCATTGTATTCACTAACTACTGATCCTATTACATATGTGTTCCAAAATCCATTAACTGAGAAAATAGTATTGAAGGCAGATGATGTTCTGGGTCAGTCAATTTATTCAGTTTGAGATACAGGATATCTGAAGATTGAGTTCTTCAGAAACGTCCTGGCAAATTTTAGCTATTTTGCTGCCTTTATGTCAGGCTGAATTGTTCTCCTGGATAATTTTTGGTTTGTTTGCATATCTATTACACTAATAATTTCTCTCAGATGTAATCTTAAATTTCTACATTTCCTTTCTTTTTTTGTGGACATATTGACTATTGTAGTTTTTGCACAATTTTCATATTCTTCATCCTTGTGATTAATGCTGCTCCTACGGTCTTCTTAAATTTGATTTGCCATTACTATGCATAGATATGCTATCGTGTTAGAATGTCCTCTTTTGGGGAGATTTCTGCCACAATGCTGTAACTGGGATACAGATCATATGGGGTTTATTATGGTTTCAGGAAATTAAAGGGAAGGTGCTTTTTAGAACCTTATCCAGGTTGATTTTGTTTGATTTTAAATACTGTGGATGAAACCAGCATAAATATATACATATTTAAGTATCAAATGCTTTATGTAAAACTGATAATCTGCATTTCTATGTCATGTCATACCACAGGAATTCAAAAGCATTATTGATAGAGGTAATTATTGTTTGTTATCAAAATATATATGAGAGCTATCAGAGTATTCCAGACATGTAGCTTCAGGGTTACCAAAAAGTTAATGTGGCTTCAATTCCAGCTAGCCTTTTAGTTGATAGCTTAAATGAACTTGTGTATCCATAATGTACATGGGTACATCATGAATTAAGCTTGTTTCAAGTGATTGACACAGAATAACCAAGAGACAATGTTCAGAAACATTTTGGCATCTAAAATCACAAAATATAAATTCAGTAGTAATTTTGGTATTTCATTATTTGCCATAGTGTATTGCAAGAGAAAAAGAATGCCACCATGAGCACAAAAACACACCTCTAGATACTGAGAATTTCTATACAGCAGCATTTAATACCAGTTATAAGGACTTTGTCTGTTTGGAATATCAGTGGATTTGATATGCACACATAGACTTTCTGTAGGAACAAACAATACTTATTTTGGGTCTGAGTTTAGCAAACCTTGCCCTGGATAACACCTACGGATATGCTGCCTTGAAGAGGAAAACATTTTAACAGGTGGTTTAGTGGTTTATTTATTTTAGAATAGTTCTGGGGAGAATCAGTCTTCAAAAGACTTGCATGTTCTCACGGACAAGAAGTGGTTAAACTGGTTAGAGAAAACAAACAAAAAAAAGAACTACAAAATTCTTTCCCAGGCCCAAAAACCTTTTAACTTTTGCATACACCGCAAGGGGAGTATTTGTACCTGTTTCCAGTGCAAGAATGGAAAGGTTTATATCTATGTAGCTGGGCAACTCTATTAACAGCATTACTATGCAAAAGGCATTTGTTTGCTTTACTGATGTTGAGCTCCATTCTTTTGTATTTGTTTTTTTTCTTTCCTAGGGTGATGGGGTTGAAGCAACAGGATGAGAGATCTCAACCATGTTGCTAAATATTTTAGTCTGACAAAACTATATGGCTTCCTTTATCAAGACAGCTGTGTTTTTACATAAATAATCTTAATTTGGCCTGCTTAAGGATTATGCCTTGTACCCAAGGGCACAACCTTGAAAGGTCACCTTGACTTCCCCAAGGAGTTCACTTCAAGGCATTCAGGATGCCAGCCCAGAAAGCCTCACAGACTGAGGTATGTTCTTATTTCCTACTTGAAAGAATGGTACTGGAATGAAAAAGGCACCTTCCAAAATAGCAAAAAGAGTTATTCACCTCTCACAGAATCACTTTGAAACAAAGACTGCTGAATGCGCTGCTTTGTTTTGACAGGCATACCTGGTATGGATCACATGGAATAGTTAAACTCTCTTAAATTCTTAAATTAGGCTCCCATTAAATAGATTTTTATGTCGGTTAACTGGCTTCCCATTGATGTCATTCGTATTGTTCACAGAAGCAAGATAAGGCTAGGACTATGAGTAATTCACAATAGTTATATATGCAACACCACAATTTGCAGCAATTAAAGAAATTGGTATTTTATTTTAATAACCATTTATTATAGATAATTTGGCCAATGCTCAGAAAAACTCATTCTAGAGAATGTCAAAGATGAGCTCAAAGATACTGCCCTGTTTATTAAAAATCAATGGCATGAATATCGTTATTTTATACTTTCATACCAAACTGTATATTCATCACATAATACAAAAAGATTTTTGATATTTATGAGAGGAATGGATCTATTGCTATTTATGGAAATATATTATTTTCTTTGTGCTTCTGTGCCAGGGAATACCTATAGATGACCCTTCATATAATGAAAATTTTGAAGATGTGCTCTTAGGACTAAATGCTGAAAAATTAATTAAATATGGTCCTGTGTCCTGTAACTACAGTCTTCCATATCCTGTGCGTTGGCTAGGTAAGGTGCTCACAAATCATATGTTTTAGTGGCAGAATTCACAGCTGATCATGAGATCAGTAATATTGAGGCTTTTATCTGATTTGGAAGCTGGCTGAGGCTGAGGCTTTAACTTCTCAGTAAGGGTGCCAGAACATGTGAAAGTTGGATGTGTTTTTAATTTAGTGACCTTATGCAGGATGGAGAGGGCTCACAGTAACCCATTCAAGCTTTCTCATTTTCAAGTTGAGATTGAATATGGGTGCAGTGAATTAAACAAAGACAAGCCATGTCTCACTTTTGTTATTTCCAGTTGTTTGGCTTGGTTTTTGTATACTGCCCAAAATAGTATTTGGACACTAAAGCAGTAGTTTTGAAACCTTCTAGTCTGTTCTTTTCTCTTCTGTGTGCATAGCAACTGTAAAAGACTACCCAAGTTTTTACATTCAGATGCATGCTTATTATTTGGAACAAATTGCTAGTGCACTTGATGAAAGTCTTATTTTTCAGTGTTATTGTTTCATGTTTCCTTAAATATGTTGTTTGTGCAGCAAGAAGCAGAAGACAAGATGTTTTGCAGCATAACTTGTAAAGTTTTCAGTATCTTATTCTTTTTATTGTGCACAAACAAGCACAGAAAAAAATGCCCAGAAAGAACTTCATGAAGTCATGGTCAATATACCAGGCACAAAATGCTGAAATTAAGATGTCCACAGCAACTAGTATACTACTGTGCAATATTTCCAAAATTTTATGCAAAGTCAGACATACCAGTTTAGACACAGGGGGTCGTAGAAAGCTCCTAAGCACTGATTTATTTAGTGCACTGTACCTTATGTCACCTGATGTACCTCTGCAAACCCCCTCCTTGGGGAAGGTTTTGTTTGCCTGAATCATGCAGGGCTTTTCTGTGACTGCTGTTCAGAGTTTTACAGTCTGCACTCAGGAACTCCTGGAAGGAAGCTTTGCTGATCTTAGCTGATGAGCATTTTCCAGAATCACATAAATGATCACAAAACAGAAGATTATGCAATATAAACCTATGCCTAAAAGCAGATGTAATGTAGCATATCCACTATCATATGCTTCATTATTTTTTTTCTTATAATTAAATATTCAAAGATACAGAGTAGGGGTTTCTTTCTGTAACACCTGAAGACTGCCTGAAATTAAACACAGGAGTTGGAATTCAATTCTCCTGGTGGATCCCCTCCAACTCAGAATATTCTATGATTTGCAGAGGCCCAGAGAAGGGCTCTCCAATGAGATGACACCTTATTGCAATAAGTGTTGATTTCTAAGGAAGAGGGAGTAATTTGTGTCTCACCTGGAGCTTGTGAATAAACCTAAATAATTTAGTAAATACTATTAATATCTATATACTGGAATGTGCATAGTGAGCTATCCAACTTTTTCGTCTTCAAAATGGTGTCCTGAATTTCTTAGGAGTGTAATTATTGCTGCAATATCTGTCATGAAGTCTCACATCAATTTTTGGAAATTTGCTGCTAGATGGAATGGAAAAAGTGTTCTCTTGAGTATTCAATGGTAGACCTGTATGCACAATATAACTTTTCAGTCTGCTACCACAGGGATTTTATTCTTAAAAGCAAAAGAATTACTTTATATGTAACTAGATGCTTGTCTACAAGAAAAGAAAAGATGAACCATTTGTTCTCAGACTTACAAGTATTTCTATTTGTCCTACAAGGAGAAATCACGTTTGCATAATCTCAGCTGAAGAACTGAAATTTTCAGAGTGATGTTCAGAGAATGATTGATTGACAGAAGGAATTTTAAATGAAAACATTTATCTGCCTTAGTTATATCTGTCAGTAGTACTTTAGCTAGAGCTGCATTCAGTGGTTCTGCTCAATTTATTTCTTCAGCACTCTCTACCACAACACTGTCCACTACCTCCATTATGTCCTAAGTATTGTGTAAATTTCTATAATATGCTGAATGGTCCCTTTTAAAATCAGCATAAAATTCATCAATGTAGAGTAATAATGCAACATTTTGTTCCAAAAATATTGACTCTGTTATTTATTCTTCATGATGCCTTCTTCCTGATGAATAAACAATCAGGAGAGACAGTAACTACATCAAAGAAAAGTGAGGATTTTTTTAATGCACATATGCATTAAAAAAAAATTAATTTTTAAGTGTAAATTGAGTTAATTTGTAGCCAATTAATTTTTTTTTTTTTTTACCAGGAAAGGTACTGAACTGAGAATGAGGAGACAAAAGCTTATCATATCACTCAAGAGGCTTTGGTTTTTTATTGATATATATATATACACACTTGATTTTATGGTGTTTCTATAACAAACAAGATGCAATTCCAGAATGCTTAATTTTGCTGTGAGTTGTTGGTAACTTATTTTAAGTAATTAAATTGAAAACTTTTTAGACATAGTGTCACTTCAATCACAAAGTCATATTATTAAATATCTTCACCAGAGAGAAGAAATAGAGATGCACTCTAACTGTTTAGCAGTCATGGAAAATTAAATCTTCATTATAGCAAAAACTAAAAGACAGTAAAGTGACCTGAAGTCTATTTTTAAAATCTCCTAATATTACATGTGCTTCCATTAGAATATAATGAAATATACATTTTTCGTAATCAACCACTGGATTGTCTTGCCAACAGAAACAGAAGGGAATCTCACATAAACAAGAAAATTTTATATAGAGAAAATATAACCATACTCCAATAATTTTTCTCTATATTTTATTTCTTCCTTAGGAAGACTGGGCTATGAAACCATAGGCCATTTAAAGTCTTGTATATTCCTTCCTTACCAGTATTAGTCCCTGCAAGACTGAACATTGATCTTCCTCGGCTCATCAATGACCAAATGATCTGTAAAAGTTTTGCTTTTTATTAAGTATGGGTAGGCTGTAAATTTGGGCACCTGTCTTCACATTTGAGACAGAACTAACCTAGAGCAATTTTCTGAAGCATTTTCACTGAAAAACTTAAGAGCTTCTTAATGTTCTGTCTCTGTAAATCACATCTGCCACAAACATTCAAATGCTGACAGTAAGTGACTGGTGAGGTTTCAATCTAGGTTCCATGGGAAACGTCTGTTGCTTTAGATGTGATTGAATCTTGCAGTACTAGAAGTTAAGGACTTAGCTCAATGAAGAGTTTCTAAGAATTGGCTAGCATACCTTTTAATTTAGGCACTTGCAGCAGAGGTATTTCAAGAGCTCTTATTGTTCTACTACCATATTAGATAGAGGTAAAAATATCCTAGATATAGTCCTTATCATTTGATAAGAAATTTGATGGAATATACTTGAATGTTTTTGTCTATGGCTGCATCAAGAAAATTCCTTCATCTCAGTTTGCCAGGATCTGATCGAGTCAGTATCACAGATTTTACACATGCAAACTCTAAACTCTACCTGCTGGTTTCGATCATTACCTAAGAGTTTTTCTAAGCAATACTGCGGGAGACCTAATAATGGTTTGCAATCAGATCTAACACTTTTCTTCAAGTGAATTATTGCTAGGTGTGAGACCACATTACAAAAAAGCATTATAGCTAAAGCAAGAAAAACATGGCAAAACTGAAATCATAGGACCTCTGAATTGTTTTATTGCTGGGCAGTATAACATTTTTTTACCCATTCTTTCAAATAGTCACAGAGTTAGTGTCACATACTGTTAAGACATTTCTTTGGCAACTAGCTGTATTTATGTTGTGAAAAGAGAAATTGGAATATGAATAGGTAATTAATGTGTCATTATTCACTTCTCTAGTATTGGGTGGCTTGAAATATTTCACATATTTATCTGAGATTTTTAAGGAGATAATTGACATCAAATCACTAGCTACTTCTTGTCAGCACCTGTCATGGTTTGAGCCTGGCACAGAGCCAGTGCCCCCCATGAAAATGCCCTCACCCTGGTGTC